TTTCCCTGGTGTGAAATGTAAGGTTAGACTTTCCAACATTTCCAATACCTGAAGGGGCTCCAGGAAGGCTAGGGAGGGACTTTGGCCAAGGGCAGGGAGTGACAGAACAAGGGGTGATGGCTTGAAACTGGCAGAGGGAAGGTTTAGATTAGACCTTAGGAAGAAATTTTTTGGTGTGAGGGTGGTGAGACAGTGTCCCAGGTTGTCCAGAGAAGCTGTGGCTGCTCCTCCCTGGAAGTGTTGAAGGCCAGGTTGGATGAGGCTTTGAGCAACCTGGTCTAGTGGAAGGTGTCCCTGCTGCTGGCAGGGGGGTTGGGACTGGATGAGCTTTAAGATCCCTTCCAACCCAAACCAGTCTGGGCTTCTGTGATATATGGCACAGATGTTTAAATATGCAATCCTTCAACCATTTGCCAGACTTAGATGCAGAATCATTTCCATAGACACCAGTGGGATGATTCAGTGGCATCAGTGTCCATTGATGTGATGCAACTCAGTCAGTGGAGCGTTTGCAGATAAGACTGGGATCCTTATTTAAAACATCTAAACAAATACAACCTGGCCTACTGTCATACTCTTGTTCTCTGCAAGACAGACCCCTGGTCCCACCCATGGAGGAGTTTGCAGAGGTCTGTACTATCAGCCAGCACACATCCCTGTGTCCGTGTATAGAGAGGTTGTGGAGTCTCCATCTCTGGAGATGTTCAAAACCCACCTGGACACTTTCCTGTGCAACCTGGTGTAGGAAACCTGCTTTGGCAGGGGGGTTGGACTGGATGATCTCCTGAAGTCCCTTCCAACCCTGACCATTCTGTGATTCTGTGTCAATTCTGCTTAATATTCAGTGAAGAAATAATTCTTGTCACTGAGATCATTAATAACGGACACCTACTCTAACTAGGTTATGCCTACAGTGAAAAAATGTCTGTACTGTAGATAGACAGAAAGACAAACCTTGTTTTTACAGAGTTCTGCATATGTTCCATCAAACCCTCTTTTCTTTGCCCAGCCTGGCATAACTTCAGAATCAGGCACCACAATTCCCACCAGAAAGGCCTGTAGGTGAAGGAGAAGGAGAGTTGTGGGCAAAAGCTGAATGACATTTAAGGCCCTACACTGAACTGAATACATAATCCAGCTGAATTTGCTACGTGTTTATCATTTCTTGTTTAATTACGTCAATAATTCGCTATCATATCATAGTGATGTAGATTTTGGTGTCTGTGCCTGTTCCTGAGATAAAACGGTTTTCTATGACTGTTCCTGTATTTGCCAACAATTTTAACACCTTCAGCTGGGTTTGTGTTTTGCTTGGATGTTAATTAAATTACTTGTATTTTGCATGTCAGAGCTGAGCACAGCCCGTATCATTGACACACACACAGTTCATGGGCCTTTGAGTCTCAGGAAACCTCTGGTGCCAAGGGAAACCTCACGTTTGTGGCCAGTCAATGGTTTCAGAAGTGTATGTGTTTGTATAAAGATGTGAATTAACCGTCTTCACTGCATATGCAACTGCAAACAGTGAACAGGGCTGTAGTTTGGGGAGAAGAGGTAAGGCAAAAATGGGACAAGATTGGTCAAAATGGGTATAAAGTGGTTGTGGAGCAGCGGTGGCTTTGCCTTCACCTAGCTTACTGCAGGCAGTGTGGCAAAGGAGAGAGTCAGAGAACCAAAAGGTGACACTGAAGCAAATTTAAAAGCCTGATCTTGGCCACATCATCTCCAAGCTGCTTAGGGTCACCCCAGCAGCTCAGCTCCCACGTGGCTGCCAGCCAGCTCCAGAACAGGAGGGAGAGATCAGGGCAAAAACGTGGTGTGATCCACTCACGCTTTCCCCTCAGCTTTCCCTCTTCTCTTTCCAAAGAACAAAGATTTTTCTGAAAATGTGGTTTTTACCTGCAGGCTGTCCCCGTGGACGTAGATCTGGGCGACAGGGTCACTGCGGATATAGATATTCTCTATTTTCTCCGGTGCAATATATTCTCCCTGAGCAAGTTTAAATATATGCTTTTTCCGATCAATAATTTTAAGAGTCCCATTCTGTTAGGAGAAAGAAATGAGAGTTCCCAGAGAAGTTATTTAACCACAGAGGCTCAGTAAGCAGTTTGCTTTTCACAGAGCTCTTGAGATTGCCAGAAAATGATTCACTGACATATCGAGCTTATTCTGCAAAATAGAAACTTAACCCTTTGTTGAGATAGATCTGCTTGGAAATTCAAGTTTGGGACTTGAAAATCTACATGAGATAATACAATTGACTTAAGAACTCAGCATCTGAGCAGTACGCACAGGTAACCATTTCCCGATGTCCCCAGTGTGAAGCCAGCCCTCCTGGTCCAGTGCTTCAGTCGTCTTCTCTTCATCCTTCAGGTAACCTTTGAAAACATTTGGTCCTTTCACACATATCTGCAAAACAGTCGGAGTTGCTGATAAATTACTTGATTATTCTGCTGTAAATACTAATAAGCTAAATAGTGATTCACTAAAATGGAAATATTTCAAAGGTTGACTTAATGACTGTGCTCCATCCAACTCAAATATATTGCATAAGGTTTTTTTCTTCAAACTAATGGAAGTATGAAGTAGGCAATGCAAAACTGATTGGAAGTTGGTTTGCATTCAGCTTGCAGTTAAAAAACCCCAACTTATTTCAGTAAGTTTAATTTCTGTGCAATATAGAAATATCAGCAATGTAGAAATTCAAAAGCAATCCAACTCTTCTTAGCTGAACTAATTCATTCAGCCTTAGCTTTTAAAGTAATCAGGCATGACATTGGCTGGACGTCCTGCCACAGCCCCTTTTTAATTAATACTTTGCTGCTCTATCGCTGAATTGACGTTCTCCTTTCCTGATTTTAATATGTAGCACATCAGCAACCATGCACCTTACAAAGGCAAAATGCTTCTATAACTACATAACTACTTAATACAGTGTTAACTAGTGAGAATTCGATATAAAAATGTTATTTGCTACCTCTCCTTCTCCTTTGGAAGCAAAATAATTCAGCTCTTCCACATCCTTCAATTTGATTAAGTTACAGGGCAAAGGGGCTCCTACATGACCTGGAAATCAAAGTTATCAAGTCACTTGTCATCTCTCCTATAAACAGTAATTAGAATGTTATTATTAGTCTCTTGCATAGTTGTAGATACACTGGATGTTCTCCCAGGAGCTGTGTCTGTGGGCAGAAATCATTTCCTCATTTAAGGTTTTGCACTGTTAAGATTAAATACCCAAACCTCCTATTTGAATATATTTAAACCCTATTTTCAATCATGTCAAAATACAGACCACGTCTCCCTTACCTGCAAGAGACTAAACCCTTTTTTAAGCTTAACTCGTTCTAAAAGCACACAAAGCTCTGGAGCCCTGTTGGTTTGATCACCTGGGAACACCAACTGCAGTGAGGTTACACTGACCACACTTCCCCCCCACCCCTATGGTTTCTCCAAAGATGAAGAGAGGGCAACGTCTGCTGCAACCAACAAGCACTGCGAGAGTACAACGTGTCCAAAACTGGCCTGTTTTCCCCAGAAATAGCCACCTGGGAAAAAAAAATGGATTGGAAAGAGGTGTCACGACTCCGCATGTCGTGTGCTGGAGCTCTCATGGGCTGAGGTCTTGTTTTGCAAAGGAACCAGATGGACGCGCACTGAGGATGAGGATGCAGTGTTGGCACACGAGCAGTGCTTTGCCCAGGGCATGGGCAGGGCCTGGCAGGCAGTGAGCCCCAGGACACATCAGTATCTGCAAGGGACTGGTTTTGGTTGGAAGAAAACCAAACAGATGGTTACTTGTGCTGGGAGAAGAAAGCACATGCTCTTCTCCAGCCATGGAAAATCTGGGTTGGAAAGAAGGAAATGTTGAACTGGCCAGAGCCACATCCAGGCTTCTTACTCATATTCATCTGAATGAGTATAATACCCATTTCAAAACATTTTTATAATCATAGAATCACAGAATTATAGACTGGTTTGGGTTGGAAGGGACCTCAAAGCTCATCCAGTCCCAACCCCCCTGCCAGCAGCAGGGACACCTTCCACTAGACCAGGTTGCTCAAAGCCTCATCCAGCCTGGCCTTCAACACTTCCAGGGAGGAGCAGCCACAGCTTCTCTGGCCAACCTGGGACACTGTCTCCCCACCCTCACAGTGAAGAACTTCTTCCTACTAAATATTAATAAATTATATTAAGAAGAAATTAATCTGCAGTACTTGTATGTATCATCTGAATCTTGCTTCATGCAAATTTTTTATCTGATTTTGTCAAGGTGAAAGCCTGAAACACAGCAAGTGTTGAGCAGTGGTGGATCTGTATTCAAAGCCTGGCTTTGCTCACTAAGTACCTGAATGTTTTAATCTTTGTTCCAGCATTTCATGATAACAAACACTCTTTTAAATTCACCTCCAGTGCTTGAGGAAGGCTCAGAGCGCCAGGAGTGCAGAGATGAGAGTATCGCAAATAACAGCTCAAGGGACAATTCCAAATCTCCCCAGACAGACGTGCCCAACATCTGATCCCTCTGTATTTATTCTGGACTAGTGATATTTTCAAGAACATTCCATGTGCTGCAGATTATGCACACAGTTACAACACCCTGTGCTGTTACAGTCCTGAATTTTTTAATGAAATGTGCATTTCTTTTCGTTCTGGAAATGGTGGAAGAAAATCATTACCTGATGTCCAGTCACCTGGAGTTGTGAAGGTGCATCCTGCTGTACATTCTGTTTGGCCATAACCTTCATAAACCTGATAAAGAAACAAGGACCTTTAAAGCCATATATATGTGATTTCATCATTACAGAATTAAATTCCAAGAATTCCCTTCTGTTACACCGTCCTGGGAGCTCATCCTGCCAGCTGCAGTGCATGGACACACATTTAACATGGACACCTTCCCTGGCTCTTACTGCACACAAAATTTCATTTACATGACTATGAATTACCATAGAATCATAGAATCATGGACTGGTTTGGGTTGGAAGGGACCCCAAAGCTCATCCAGTCCCAACCCCCCTGCCATCAGCAGGGACACCTTCCACTAGACCAGGTTGCTCAAAGCCTCATCCAACCTGGCCGAGAACACTTCCAGGGAGGAGCAGCCACAGCTTCTCTGGCCTCTCACCATCCTCACACCAAACAATTTCTTCCTCACATCTCATCTCCATCTCCCCTCTGCCACTTTCAAGCCATCACCCCTTGTCCTGTCACTCCCTGTCCTTGGCCAAAGTCACTCTGTCTCCTGTTTCTAAGCTCTCTTCAGGTACTGGAAGGCTGCAATGAGGTCTCCCTGGAGCCTTCTCTTCTCCAAGCTCAACAAGCCTAGCTCCCTCAACCTTTCTTCAGCAGAGAGGTGCTCCAGCCCTCGGATCATCTTCCTGCCTCTCCTCTGGACCCACTCCAACAGCTCCACATCTTTCTTGTGTTGGGGGCTCCAGACCTGGACACAACACTCCAGATGTGGACAACCACCTCCCTGTCCTGAATGCAGATCTGAGGTCCTAACCCATCTCCTTTCTTAAATACAGCACGTTTCCCAGCTAACAGTAAATGAAGAGCTCCACAGAGCCACGTGAGCCCACCTGACATCCGAGGGCTGCGCGGAGGAAGCCCAGGACGGTTGGAGACGCGGGGGCAGCGCCGGTTACTATCATGCGAACGCACCCACCGAGACTTGCCTGTTTGAGAGCAGGAGAAAACAAAAGAGAGCATCACAGATTAGAACAGATGGCAAAGCCAGAAGCATCCATCAGTATTGCTTCTCCAATGCAAAATGCTTCTACAAAATGCTCTCTCTAGAATAGATCATAGAACTAGAGAACGTTGTGAGTGGGAAGGGACCCACCAGGATGATGGAGCCCAACTCCTGTCCCTGCACAGGACAATCCCAGCATTCACACCATGTCCCTGAGGGCACATGTTGGCCAAATGCTGCTGCAGTCTTGTCAGGCTTGGTGCCATGAGCACCTCCCTGGGGAGCCTGTTCCAGTGCTCCACCACCCTCTGCCTCAAGAACCTTTTCCTCATGGCCAACCTCACCCTCCCCTGCCACATCTTCCTGCCATTCCCTCTGCTCCTGGCATTCGTTGGTGGCCAGAGAGAAGAGATCAGCACCTGCCCCTCCTCTGCCCCTTGGGAGGAAGCTCTAGACCATGATGAGGTCTCTGCAGCCATGCTGTAGAAATATGAACTATCTCTGAATCTTTCCTTAGGGATAAAAAGCCAACTAAATCTGAAAAGCAGTAACTGTCCCCCTTGCAGGTAGAAATAGTGCCCAAAGGGAAAACCATCTGATGGATGGAGGCCAGAGTCCCAGGTCTCAGGCAGGATGAGTCAGGACTTCTGTTCCTGGTCGGGCTGCAGACCTGTGAGGAGGTGGCCTTGGCCAGCAGTGAGCACAGGTGGCTCAGGGACCTGCTGGGTAACAACCAGGCTCTTCCCCCCTCCAGTTTTCTTTGCTTATTTGCACCTCATCACTTTTAAGGAGTTGGCTCCCATGCCATCTCCCATCACTCTGTCCCCTTTTTAAGGCAGGTGACCTTGTGCAGGATGTTACATCAATTCCTGAGTCGTATTTTACTTCTTTTCCTTTCCCTTCATTTCCTTTTTCTCATTCTAAAAGTAAAAAAAAAAAAGAAAGAAAACCCAGCACAAAAGAAAACAACTCCTGATTGAGGCTGCCAGTCCTGCCAGATCCTCAATCAATATGCAGCCTGGCTTCCCTCGTGTCTGCGCTCCCGGCAGAACTCGGCTGTCTTTGCACACTGAGGACAAATAATCCACAGATGAAAAGTACAGTCAGTTTCTTTAGTTAAAAAATAAAGTGGCATGTCTCCAGATAAGTTATCCAATTAAAAAAACCCGAAGTAATCAGAGCCTCCTGGAGTAGTACAGTGCCTGGAAAACCTGATTTAAAGTCAATTTAATCTATTTTTCCTGAGGAGATGCATGGCACACAGCAGGGCACTCTCATTTCTTTCCTCTGCTGTTAAATTGTGATTTACTTGTACATTCTCTATGGCTTTATTCTTGTTTTCCTAGGAAAAAAAAGGAGTTTTGAATATGCCCAACAGAAACCTGACCCTAAATCCAATCGTATCTACAGAGAATTTGCAGAAACCTTTGGAGCAACACCTCTCTGATCATACTCCTCTGTTCATGATCACCTTCCTGAGTTTCACCCCTGGGGAGAGGAGACAGGAGAGGGAGTTTGATGCAGTCCTCAACCTTGCCTGTCACTGGGCATGAGTGAGGAGAAAGATTTGCCCAGGGGACACGAGCAGAGCCCACAGCGGGTGCTCAGTCCCAAGGCAGAGCACCCAAATACCAAAGGAGGTGACAGCAGCCGTGGTGTGGGGCAGGAGGGTATGATCCTGCTTCATGGCAATGCCACCTGGCATAGGGCAAGTGCCTCTGTCCCACACCACGTCCCTCCCTGGTGTCTGTGCAGGGACACAGCTGGTGTCTGAGCACCGCAAAAAACAGGGGTTATTGTGCAAATAGCGATTTCTTGGTGTTGCTGAAGGAGGGATGTGGCAAAAGCTGTCTCTGTCTCAGGCTGCTTTCCTTTTTCCCCTTTCCTTTGGAAAACTATCCCTAATGGAAGTGAAATTTTGGCATCTTATGCAGGATGTTTAAAAATAAATAGAGAAATAAAAATAAGCGTGGTGAAAGTTAGTGGAGTAACAAACTGGGTCCATTTCCTTTTTCTATCCCATTTTTCAGTCTGCAGTTCATCATCAGGCAAGCAGACCACACAGACTAAGGAAAAATCAGTCCCTGGGAGAAGAAATGACAGTTGTTAGACTTTAGACTCAGTCCTGAAGGTGCTTACCTGTATTTTATTAAAGAAAAGTTTATCCCACAAGCTGTCGTTTCTAATGATCCCGTTTCGAACTTCAGCTTTTTTCCGTTTCGCGGCAAATTCCAGCATCCAGCGCTTGAGGGACGTGTCTGCTTGGCTGAAGATCTGCGGGAGCGTGGGGTGGCAGGCAGCGTGGTACCCAAGAGAGAGAGAAAACATCAACAGCTGCTCCTACAATTACAGCTACACAGTCCTGCCAGTGCCGGGTAGGGTATGGTTACATCAGCAGTACAGTTAATTCAGACTACATTATGGGTTTTTAATTGGATTTCAAAAAAAGGAGTGGTTTGTTTTTACCATTCCTTTGGGGAAAAAGGAGAGAGGATGACAGGGTAGGCTTGGACAAGATTTTTCTATATGATTTCTGCCATAGGATTCAGTTAAATCATGAAATCTGAGCAATTAGGAAGAAGCAACGTGAGTATCTGGCAGCCAGAGCAGGTACCAGCGCTGTCTGATGAGGTGATGGGGGCTGCGTTTACCAAAGTTCATCATCCACCATCATCAACTACATGTCCACAAATGAGAAACCCCCAGTGCCCTTCCCTTAACGAGGCACCAGAACCCCTGATCCTACAGTCCTGACCTTGGGGAAAAATTAAATCAGTAGCTTGTGCTTAAGCTCATCTTTAGAGGATAAGTCTTCTGAGGAATAAATATTCCCAGCTGGTCAAACAGATTTAACATGATGACCAGACACCTTTCAAGACCATCTCTTAATTTTATAGATTTCTAAATCCAAAAGCCAACCTCCCTTTTACGCTAATTAAATCCCCACAGTCTTTCTGCAGTTCCTGCTTTCGAGCTCTCATTGCCACCAGAGAGATTCAAGCTCCAAAACTGCTTGAAAGGCACAAAAATCCAGGTTTGACTGGTGTATCTGTGGTGAAAAAAAATCCCTTGACTCTGGAAATGTCACTAGTAACCCCAGTGAGAAGAGGGTAAGAGGCTAATACAGCGAGATTTCATCTTAATCTATAATTAACTATCATATATACAATAACCATGCTTGCAGTCTGTGTAAATCAATATAATATAGACTCAGTCGGAGCAGCTCTATCAGTTACACAGGGTAAAAATGTGTTTGCATTAAGGCAGAAACATCCAACCTGCTCAGGAAACCTCCAGGACTAAGGGAATTCTTCTAGATAATTAGATAATTAGATAATTGACAGGCTGAAAGAGTTGGGGCTGTTCAGCCTGGAAAAGAGAAGGCTCCGGGGAGACCTTATAGTGGCCTTCCAATACCTGAAGGGGCTACAAGAAAGCTGGGGAGGGACTTTTCATAAGGGCAACTAATGACAAAACAAGGGGAAATGGCTTTAAGCTGAAAGAGGGGAGGTTTAGATGAGATATTAGGAAGAAGTTCTTCACCGTGAGGGTGGTCAGACACTGTCCCAGGCTGGCCAGAGAAGCTGTGGCTGCTCCTCCCTGGAAGTGTTGAAGGCCAGGCTGGATGAGGCTTTGAGCAACCTGGTCTAGTGGAAGGTGTCCCTGCTGATGGCAGGGGAGTTGGAACTGGATGAGCTTTAAGGTCCCTTCCAATCCAAACCATTCTATGATTCTATGAATTACTAAAAGGACATAACCTTCGTTACTACAAAAAAAATTTAAGTAAATAAAAAATTAAACTCACCTTATCATACATCCTGTTTAACAGCCGTGGCACAACGGGGAAGATAGTTGGACGCAACGCTTTCATATCATCAGATAAGAGACGAATATCTCCCTGGAAGAACCCAATTCTCCCTCCATGGCAATAAACGACAGACTGAGGGGGGAAAAAAGAGAACACACGTCACCTCTTTGCTTCTAATTCCCAGGGCAGAGCATCCCTCCCAAGCACTGAAATGCCTTTCCTGAAATTCTGCTCTCAGTAAGGCAAATGTGGGGCTTTAAGAAATAGAAATGGAATTTAATAGAAATTAAATTTTGCATTTAATAGAAACACACAGATAGTTCTGGGCACTTTTCAGTACTGATGGTTGAACATCCACCACTGTTTCTGTAGGAACAAGGAAACAAAGCTTTTCGAAGGGGTTTCCCTTCATCCCCTTGCATATGGGGATGGAGAAGTCTGAGTTATGGTCAGATTTTGGATCTGAACTTCTCCTCTGAAGCCCAGACCTACCACAGCAGCTCACAGCATGAGGATCTAAAGAAATGCATATTAAGAAACATCATAAAACATACGGAACAGCAGCCAGTTTTTAGATGTTAATACTTTAGTTGTGTTTAAATACAATATAGACTACGTTAGCAATACCATGTCTGATCCTGTATCCCAGAAATAGAAGCCCACTTCATAAAAAAATATGGAAATGGAAGATCCAGAAGTTTTGCACTTGGAAAAAATCAAACAGGCCACTTCAATCGGATCGGAATAGAGCTGGGTGTGCGGGATGGGGCCGGCGATGAGCCCACCGGCAGCTGGAGGGGCAGCTCTGCTAGTCAGGAACCCCGCAGAGAACTACTCCCTAACTTGGGAAAATGGTATTTTATGGCTTGTGTTTCTGCTGGAGAATGTTTGGAGAGCAGCATCCCTACCCTGCATGTAGAACACAACCCCTAAAAAATCTGTAATACAAACCCAAGGGCTTTGTCAGCCAGCTAGAGACTGTCTCCAGCGCCTGAAACCACAGGAATTTTATCCATGTGATGTGGGTTTAACCAACATCACCCTGCTAACTCTGGCTTTTACACTGCACATGCACTTTTTCTTTTAAAAAAAAAAGAAAATATTAATTAAAATAAAAAAAATAAAATATTCTTTAAAAAAAAAAAAACCATAATCAGTGTGCTCACTGGAAATTATAAATAACTAGTAGAAATTTTTAGCTTTGAAGAATATATCTGTTTAATTTTAAGTTCCAGGAGCTAATAAGGTTGGCTAAAACAAGTTGATGCAGTGCCTGCTGTTCAGAATCCTTTTGAAAATGACTTTTTTTACCCCTTTGGAAAGAATCTTTATATTAATGAGCTTTTTTAGCAGAGATTATAAACACAAACATCCTTTGGAGGCCTGCTCCTTTCAATACGACAACATCCTCTGAAATCAGGCTATTTCCAATGTTTCTAGTTTTTTTTTCAGCCCCATCAGATGACTTTTTAATAATGATATTCTGGTTTGCTGGCAAAGCACTTTGCCTGAGTAGCAGTGGCATACTGCCCAACTTGTCTTTTAAAAATCAGACTTACAAATGAAGTTAGCTGCAATTCTCCAAATCTTTCATGGATTTTCACTTCCAATTTGCAAGTTTTTTACCAGGGCAGAGTATATTATTTCTGGCACAGATGTTCCTAAGAAGTGAGACGCTTCTATTCAGATGCTTGTCTGACTCAAAAAGTATTCTTTCAGCCCAAAACAGTTCTCCCTGAGAAAGGACAGAGCTGCAACTGAATCCAGATCCAATTTTCACGTGTTGGATCAGTTTTTAGTTCGCAGCTTCTCCAGCCAGGAGAACTGATATGATTATCTCATCTAACACACCAACTGCAGCACAAGTTATCACTTGTTTTTCAAAAAAGAAGAGAGATGTGAACAGTCAAAAAGTCAGTTCTGCGGGCTGGCATGAGTTAGCATTTCTATTTGTCATGATTTCCAGGGGACACTGGCTTCCAGTTAATGCCCATGGTACGCTGCCCTGCCAGGAGGATCACGTGTGTCACACCACGATCTGAGTTTCCTCATTTGCAGTAAATTTTTTCTGCAAGTTTTCCGGTTTTGTTTTTGTTTTGGGGTTTCTTTTTTTTTTTTTTTTTGCAGATCTGGTTATTTATGCAACAAAAGGATTTTAGCTGATGTAGAAAATGGTATCAAATTATTTTTACTCCCATGATACCTGCCCCTAGAGTGCTTTAAAGAGCTGCCCCCAGAATTGTGCAGCCAGCAGTTTCTGCTCATGGATGAAGGGCTGTTTTCCAATCTCAGAGCCACTGGTGTAAACTGGAGAGCTTGGGAAACCCTCCTGGAATCACTCTGGACTCATGGCCATGTCACCGAGACCAGAGGTTGGGTCTTGGTGTTAAGCACGTGGCACTTCTGGAGTACAAGCTTTTTTTTTAGTGCTACAAGATATCGCTGGTTATTTAGTATTTTATTCATTTTATATTGGTTTTGACGTGGAAAAAGATGATTTCCACTGACACCGGGACCTTACCTGTACCATTCTCTCAAACATGTGTGCTAAAGGCAAATAGGAAATGTGAACATCCTCACAAGTAGGAGACCACTGACTCTGGAAAAAAAACACAAGGAGCCCCAACGAGGCCTCGTCAGTCCGGGCAGGATTCTTACCTGGATCACTCGTTCAAACATGTGAGCCAGAGGCAGGAAGGAGATGAGCACATCGTCCTGTCTCGGAAAGATCACTTTCTGCAGGTGAAGGGCATGGGAGACAGAAAGGAAAGAAAAACACTGACAGGAAGACAACAAGAAAGTCATAAAACAATTAAAAAAAAAAAAAAAAAAGAAAAAAAAATGGTACCAGAGGAGCAAAAAGGTGAAGATTGTCAAGAGAGGAAGGGAGCAGCGGACGGAGGGAAGCGTTAAGCCACAGCGTCAATGAAGCTGGGTTAGCAGGAGGAGTGAAGAGCACGGAGATGTACACAGAGGGCAATGGAGAGAGAGAGGTCTCTCCATGGCAGAAGGTGTGTCATATCCACACAGCTCACACTGGAACCAGAGGCTCACCCTGACAGAAAACCCCAATTTTTTTACTCATTGTTTTCCACCATGAGGTGCTGAGACCATGGTTTGCACTGGAAGCTGCCTGCAGACCTGCAGGATCCTGGTGCCAACCTGCAGGAGCCTCCTGGAAGCCAGCGAGGCTCTACAGACACATCATTTTTTCACATTGCAAAGAGTCCATCAGAGATTCACAGTGTTACGAGTGTCAAAGCTATAGATTTCCTTATTTTCCTTAGGTTAATCATTGATTCGAATCAGAATACACGGGATAAATTAATGATTATTTTTCAGCTGCAAAAATTAATGACTTCTGTTAGTGTTTCTCATAATTTTAAGTAATTAAAATGTGATTTTAAGGTGCAGAGGGGAAAAAGGAAAGCTGGACAAATTCTGTGAAAAATAAAAATTACCAAAAAAGTCTTCAGTTTGACAAGTTTTTAATTCTGTCTTGCAGGCTGGAATAAACAAAGGCTCCGAGAGCCTCACCTGACCTGTGTAATCCCTTTCTGCCTGCATTTCCAAGGGGAAAGCTTGCCACAATATTATGTTTTAGAAAAACTGAAAGCCTGATTGCCCCAATAACTTGTCACCAAGGCGAGTGGTTAGTGGAAAATGGGTATAAAATCTATTAGCTCACAGTATTACCCATTTATACCCGCTTGGCATCTCCACTGCTGTGACAGAATCGATAGTCTGTGACCTGGGACACGGTGGTGGATGGAGACACAAGAGTTTCTTCCTTGGGGAGTATTATTATTGAAGTTAAGCTGGGCAGGTCAGATTGGGGTATGCCCTCCCAACCATTAACCTCGTGAAGTCAGATATGATGGGCCATGTGGGTGTTTCCAACATCCTGTTTCATATTATTTTATCTTGTCAGTCTGAATTAAGCCATTAGGGCCTGGAAATCTATTTCTACATGATTTCAAATTGGCCTCATTTTCTGCAAGCACAGGAATATAAAACCATTCGCATCAGCAGCTATGCTGCCTTTTAAAAAAAAATAAATAAATACTGCTTTAAGTGCCCAAACAATAAATGATTTGGTTTTAAATTGGACCAAAGTGATGACATTAAATAGTATTTCACAGCTGGCACAGTTGTCCAGTTAAATGTAAAAAATGGAAACAGCTTCTTGGCATTTGGCAACGACCTTGTAATAAAGCTCTATGGTCACTTCAAAAAATGTTTCACTTTTAAAAATCACTTAACTAAGCAAATCTGGCACGAGAGTACGTAAATAGCAAGTCTGCAGCACTTCTCAGCTTTAGGCATTTTTATTTTATTAATTGATAGTATTTTAAAGTATTTTGGACTTTGCTCTGTTTCGTTACTGTGACGTTTTCCTGCTCACCTGGATGAGCTACGGGCATTTACACTCTCACCAACATCCTCTTGTGCCTGAAGCTATTGAAATCACAACCACTTACACCAGACTTGCATCTCAACCTGCTCCCTTTGAGATTAATCAGAGTCCCATTGCCATCTGCAAACACTAAACCTATTTCTGTGGGTCAGTCTTGGAAGATGCCAAGTTCCCTCAACTCCCTCTAAATTAGTTCTTTTCCATAATTAATATTCCTGCCCTTTGAAGACACATCCACACATCGTTTGTGCATCTCACTGTCCCTGAACCCAGCAAAATCCCAGAATCACCTCGACTGGAAAAGCCCTTTAAGCTCATGGAGTCCCATCATGAACCCAACACTGACCAGTCCCCTATGACTAACCCATGTCCCTCAGCACTGTGTCTACACGACTCTTCAATCCCTCCAGGGATGGGGACTCCACCACTGCCCTGGGCAACCCCTGCCAATGCCTCAGAACCCTTTCAGCAAAGAAATTCTTCCTCACATCCCGTCTCAACGGCCCTGGCCACAACTGGAGCCCATTTCCTCTTGTCCTGTCCCTTGGTCCTTGGTTGAACAGACCCACCCCCACCTCTCTCCACCCTCCTCCAAGGGACTTGGACAGAGCCACAAGGTCTCCCCTCAGCCTCCTTTTCTCCAGGCTCAACACCCCCAGTTCCCTCAGCCACAAGGGAACTCAGCACACTTGTGCTCCAGACCCTTCCCCAGCTCCGTTGCCCTTCTCTGGACACACTCCAGCACCTCCATCTCATGCTGCAGAGCCTGAGGGCTCACTGCAGCCAGCTGTGATATCAGCATTTCATACTGCACATTACTGGAGTCACAACCCTGCAAATACTCGAACACCTGAGGCCAGTGGGATTTCTCACATCACGTGTCTGAGTTTCTTTCCACCAGTGGTCTGGAAATCTCAGAAAGTTCAAGGATTAAGATAACAAGACTGTAGTATTTTCAGTAACATAAGACCAGCAAGGGGTAAAAGGTAAAAAATTGTGCATCCCGTGTATATATTGCTAGTCTATAAAATAGCCTGGTCACTACAAGAAGATTCTTTATATTTGTTAGGTACATATAATCCTTATAACGTTGTGCTAAAGCAATTCTGCTTCCCACCTTGTTTCTAAACACATTGCACAAAACATGTTCTAGGTGCACTTGGCCAGTGCAATACTTTTTTAAATAGATGTACAATCAAAACCAAGATATACTTTAATATCAATGAAATTAACTGTAAAAACGTCTGTGTTCTCATATAGACACACTTGATATGCAGAAAGCTTTCAAATAAATGAGGATGTTGCGTGGGCATCCTTAGGAGTTGACCCCTCTACTCCTTTTCAAGCACCAGTTGCAAATGTACAGGGCTCATTTGCTTTCCTAATTGTTTGAAAGGAGTTAATTGATTTACAGGAGCCAACGTTGCTCCTCAGAAGCACTTTGAGACCCTACAGCACCAAGAAACCAGTGCTGGAAAAGGGGATTTAATGCCCATCCAGTGCTGGAAGCTCAGACCTGTTCCCATTTCCATGGATTTGACCTTCTGAGTAAGAGAAATTTCACCTCTTATCTGCAGGAGCATATTTCCAGCCCGTGCAGGGTCACAGTTTAACCCCCACACTCTGCACATGGCAACAGTTTGGGTTTTTTTTCTAAATCAGGGTATTCACCTCCGTCACTTTCAAAAAGCCTGAAAAATCAGCAACCACGTTCCCGTGAGTCAGCATAGCACCTTTGGGGTTCCCTGAAAGGAAAGAAAGAGTGATTGTCAAAGATGAGCCAACAGGTAATTTCTAAAAGCTTAACAAAAAAAACCAACCCAAAACAAAACAGGAAAGGGTTAAAAATATTAAGTTCTCTTTTTAAATTTTAAAATTTATGTCACTGATATGCAAAAATTAAGAAAATGATACTGTAAACACAAATATTGGAGACTCTGGACAACAGTTTCCACCAGAAATAGCCCAACTGCAATTTATGAGAGCGCTCGGATGGAGCTGCTTGATGAGCACGGCCATCAGACCTTGCTGGCTGTTCCCAGCCTCTCCAGTGGGGTTTATTTTGTACAGATTTTGCCTAAAAAAATAATCTTGAATACCAACAAATTGCATTTCAAAGGCTGTTAAGCTCTTGCTTAGCCAGTGCACTGGGTAACCTGAACAATGCTGAAAACAAGAAATACATGGTAAAAACGAGGCTACAAGACAACTCTATGAGACTGCAATTAAGGGAAGTTATTAATATTGTCAGCAGCAGAGCAGAGGTGACCTGGAGACAGCACCGAACCCATGAAGGAGGTGACAAAGGCCCTGTGCCATGTCCCAGCAATGGACACAGCGCCTGCAGTGTTCCACTGGCTGGGATTTGCTCCTTCACCTTTGAATTTTCTCTTCTGAGCTGAGAATCCCCCCTCACCCCATGACACATCTTTTGGATTTCCCATCTGTTCATATGGCTGTGGTGGTTTCACCCTTTTGGCTGCAGCCACAGTCGCTCTCTCACCCTTCCACCCTCAGGGAGCAGGGGAGAGAATTGGAAGGAAAAGGGCAAGGAGACTCACGGGTTGAGATAAAAAATATTTACTAATTAAAATAAAATGATAATGATAATAACAGCAATAACAGAATATACAGATGAGTGATGCCCAGTGCAGTTGCTCACCACCCGCTGACCGATGCCCAGCCTGTCCCACCCAGTGATCTCGGATCAGAGACAGTCCCCAAACCCAAACTGCAATCCCAGGAGAGCCAGAGCCTGAGCCATCCCCAAGAGAATCCCCAGCTTTCTGATCAACCCTGACTCATATAATGAACATGACATGATATGCTATGGAATATCATAATTTGCATAACCAAATGCCAATTTGAGGTTTTGCTAATTACTGCGCTTCCCCCTCCCAGTCCTTTGCACTTGCAAACTGGCAAAACACAAAGTCCTTGGAATTCCAGCAGCAATTGAAAACATCAGTACCTGATCAACATTCTTCTCCTAACAAATCTCACACTGAAACCAAAACACAGCTATTCTGGTTACTGAGAAGAAAATTAACCCTATCCCAGCCAAACCAGGACAACACCAAAACACAGGCTTTGTCAAACACCAAACACACAATCTGACACCTCCGGATGCACAAACCGGAGCTGAGAGCTCCATCCAACGTGCATCTGACTCAGCACGTCCTCCTGTCACAGCACTGTCCCTTTTCATCACCCTCAAAGGCTTTATTTCTGAAAAGAAGGTGTAGCTCAGCTCCAGTAAGGATTACCGAGCCAGCCTCTCTGGCCAGCCTGTTTTTAAGCAGATTGGTTTAATTCGATCACACCACCGCAGCGCCGAGCGGAAGCAGATCGGAGGAGCTTTACCTGCAGGTGCCCTGGGTGGCCCTGGCACGGCGGGCACAGGGATGTCCCCAGCAGCTTTGTAACGTTCTTACAGCTAATGATGGATGCACCAGCCTCGCAAAACTCCACAGCAGCCAGAATTTCACTCACAGCCAGGAGCTGCAGCGCCAAGCCCTGTGCTCTGCCAGCTGCGCTGACATCATTTCTCCCCAGCCTCTCAAATAATTCAATAAGGGCCCAAACGAGGGTGGTAATTATTGCACACGTTTATTGCACCAGAGCAGGACATTTTGAACACAAAGTATTTCACTGAAAATCCAGATTTGGTGTTCCAAGTGCCTCTGAGTCATTCAGTCCCAAACACTTGCAGCTGCACACAGCGTACAGGAGATATTTTGGTCTCGCTTACGCTCGTCCTCATCCGAAGCTCAGAGGTGAAGCTGGGGTTGACATCTTTGCCAACCACCACTGCTCCTGTCCTAACCTGTTGCACACACAGGCTTGCAGGCACCGGCTCAGCCAGGTTTTGTTTCATTGAATCATAGAATCCCAGATTGGTTTTTGTTGGAAGGGACCTTAAAGCTCATCCAGTTCCAACCCCTCTGCCATCAGCAGGGACACCTTCCACTAGACCAGGTTGCTCAAAGCCTCATCCAGCCTGGCCTTGAACACTTCCAGGGAGGGGGCATCCAGGGAGGGGGCATCCTTGTTCATCAATCCATGGAAGTCATTTCCCATTCTGAGATCTAAAGTCTGAGAATTACAGGTCACATTACTACATGTTTCCAGATGTTTATTTTCACAGCTGGGTGCACACCTGGATCCAGACCTCAAGAAAACTCCACGAACCAACGTTGGCTGTAAATACACACCAACGACCCTGAAATTCCTCGGGTTATTTTAGATGGATCTGGCCAAATCTACGTGCTCAGCCTCTACAAGTAGCTGTACTCCTGCAGCGTTGCACGAGTTCCTCTGTGTCTGCAGCCGGCAGGTCACACACCGATGGAGAGGATGTGGTTTGGTTTGGAAATACAAAACTGCACCCTCCGGCTCTACCAGGGTCAGATCTGGCTCCTGCCTTGACACAGCTCTTCAGGCTTTTTTTGGGAAGATTTCTCAGATGCTTTGAGACATCAGATTTATTTACTTACTCCATATCTGACTTTTTTTTTAATGCAAATTCAGTATCTCTGCTCAAATCACCATGACATGGCTGGAAGCAGCATGAACGTCTTGGATCCTTCACCGTGTCTTGCCCACAGCAGGTTCAGCATCCCGGGCTGGCTGCGGTGTGAATGGTGTCAACACAGAGCAGCAGCAGTAGGGACAGGATAGCCTTCATCAGGAGAAATCCAGAAAAACCCATGCTTCCACAGAGCAGCCGGGGTTTTTTGGGCTGGGGGATTCCTGTAAATCTTGATTTTCTTTAGTTCTTCTTTTTTTCAGAGCTAACCCAGCAGAATGGGTGTCCCTTGCTATGAGTCCTGTCCCAGAATCACCACTTGGAGATGAAAATGTTGGCAGTGATGCTGCTTTTCTTTTTTAAATAAATCAACACCCGAATCAGTTTGAATTTCCTCACAAGACCCACCCTGTGAGTTTCCCTCATGGAAATGGATGCACCACAATCCTGGTCAGTTAATAACCCAGGTATGGAAGCTTCTCCTTATCTCAGAGCCAAGTTGCTTTGACAGTTCTCAAAGGCAACAGAAGAACCTTTTCCACATCCTTAAATGGGTCTTTGAAGTAGCAGCTCCAGCATGGACCGGGTGGTGTGATCCATCAGCATTTTGGGGTGTAAGGGCTTTCCTCCTCCTCCGGCAGTCGGGGATGTGCACTGGCAGGCTGGGAGAATCACAGAATCACAGTGGTTGGAAAAGACCTTTAAGATCATCAAGTCCAACCATAAACCCCCACGAAGGAATTTTTATCCAGCTGGTTCCAGGTGGATCCTTGAGGAAATGACACTTTGCTTCTCTGGAGTAGCCAGTGTGAAAAATTGTGTCCTGATGGTCTGGGGACATCTGGGTGCCTTTGGGCCATTTATGAGCGCTGATGATTTTTTGGTGCAGCAATGAAAGTTGGTCTTGTCACCTGAGCTCAGCAACCTCAGACCCTCCCTTCAGCCTGTGGTGGCATTTGGACATCAGATCCTATCAAAGAAAACACACAGTAAAGTCCATTTCTGTTTGTTTGGGGTTTTTTTATATACAGATAAAATTATTTAAAATTCTACAGTTTCCAGGTCACAAACCCTGTAGCAACGACTGGTTTCATGCCATAGAGAGAAATATTTAGAGCCCTTCAGAATTGAAAAAGTATTTGTGAACAGAACAGAAGAAAATTCAAAATCTGGTTATTAAAAATACCCTAAGACAAGCTACACAAAAGCCCAACATTTTACATCAAAACACAACACGAGGAGCAGACCAGAGTGCTGATGCAGCCCCTGGAAAAGCTAAAATAAATAAAATAACATAAAATAAAATAACATAAAATAAAATAACATAAAATAAAATAACATAAAATAAAATAACATAAAATAAAATAACATAAAATAAAATAACATAAAATAAAATAACATAAAATAAAATAACATAAAATAAAATAACATAAAATAAAATAACATAAAATAAAATAACATAAAATAAACCTTCCCTAGTCAGAATTTCTTATTTAGAAATAAAAATATCATCAAAAATGTGACTTGAAAAAATAATTGCTCAGTCCTTTAAAACCCACACAAACAAATTGTGCCCCCTGTAGCAGTGGGCACAGCTCCTTTGGTTTCCTACAACTCCCATCAGTGCTGGACCACTTTGCACTGGCACGGCCAGTGCTCACAGCATCCTCAGCCGTGATGTCCATCCTGCACTGGGTTCAGCCTTTGGGATGAATTGGGAAATTCCTTTGGGAATTTTGGGAATTCCCACTGCTGGGACAGAGCAGAACCACGAGCTCCTTCCACCCAGTGCGCTGCCTTGGGTACTCTGACCCACAGAGAGCTCAGAACACAAACCTAACAGACTTTTTTTTACCCTACATTTTGAGAGTTAATAAAGCAGTTGCCTTACCTGATTTGCAGTACAAGTCTTCTCCAGGAGGTGGAAGATGAAGATGTCTCCCAGCACAAGCAATTCCCTCTTGCAGGGCAGCTTGGCTTTAAACTGTAGCTTCAGCTTCTCTAAATGAGTGGAGCCCAACTGAGGATGCTTTGGGGTAGGACCAAGCCTTAGACAATCCTGGGAGCTCAGGGGAACCTGGAAGAGCCACTCCAGCAGTCCCTGGAGCGTGGTCCTTCCCTGCAGGTAAGTATAAAAGTGGTTTCCCAAGCAATCATGCCTTGTGCCTCTGCACAGTCTGTCTGTCCATTTGCCTGCAGAGCTTTTTGGTAGATGTTATGGAGGTCAAGTTCTCAAGAGTAGGACATTCCTGCGAGCTGTATGAAAACCAGGGTCTGGAGAGAGGAGAAGGCACTACGTCTGCTAAGAACAGGCAGGAAAATGCTGCTGCTGCTGCTCCTCTCCAAGAAAAAAGGGGCCAGCAGCAGTGACCACCAGCCACCGGGGCTACCCAGCCTTGTCCCCAGCACATGGTGCCCCAGGGCCAACCCAGGGAGATGGGCAACACACAAGCATGCTGGGACACGCTGCAGAGGAGATGGCAGCCCTGAGGACATTGGTGGAGCTGGGGACATCTGTGTGCTGAGGATAGAGGGAATGCAAAGCTGTGGACCTGCATTTCTGGGGGTTTTGTTTGGTTTTGGTTTGTTTTGTTTTTAAAACATCTGCAGAAGATAAATACCCGTCTGTCAAGCACTTCACAACTGCACTGCAAAATGGGAAGCAGAAACACGGGCAAATTCCAGACAATTCCAAAATCCTCCTGTTCAAGTGTATGTCAGGGAATTCAAGTTAAAAAATAAATATAGCATTATTTTTAATTTGCAATCTACCAAAACATATGTACATATATATTCTTAAATATTAAAAGCACACAGAACTGTCATTGCCATACCAGTATACCAGCACGTTTGCACCTATCGAGGTGGTATAAATAATTAATTTTATAATCAATTCTAACATTGCAAGATTAAAATGCCTTTTTTTACCTGTAGTGCCACTAGTAAAACAGACAATTGATAGATCTTCTGGCCGGGGGGGCTAGAAACACACAAGGAGAATAAGAAAATCACATCAATCAAAGGCAGAAGGGTCAATGGCAGAGTGTTGTCATGGTATAAACTTAAAGATCAAACCAATTGCGTTTCAGCTCTGCCATAAAAAGCTTTTGTTCCCCTTAGAAAACATAAAAGTCAATCCTGAAACTCTTTTTATCAGGTTTCTTCCATTAATGCAGACTCTATTCCTTATGTTTTGCTCCAGCTGCATTAAGGACAAGCTTCAGTGGGAAGGTGACTATGATGGAATATTTGTGTCTTGCAGTTCATATTTTCAAAGACACCATCTATACCTGTAGGTGTGGGGGAAAACTTGAGATAATTTCCAGATAAATTCTGGAAACATGTGCTTATCCACAAGAGGGGACAGCTTTCCAAAGCCACCCATAGCTCAAATTCCCAGTAGTATCTCTGCATTCTCAGCTCCGCTGCGTTTGGATGTTATTTGGAGTCACCAATGAATAAAGAAGCAGCTTGAAAAATCAGAGGCTGGTTTTCAAAGTTTTACACGAGTATGAGCAGCCAGTGAAAAATATCAACGCAATTTTCCAAAAATATCCCAGAGAAATACTGCCAAGTAGAGTTTCTGAGTGATAGAAACCTCACTGGAAAGCCAAGGGTGCCAATGCATTCCCCTGGTGCCACCTGGGGAGGGTAGTGAAATGAGTGTGGGTGGCTTAATGGCATTTAATTACTATCCCATTATCATGTTTAATGAACTACCTCAGTTAAGTGTCCCAGGCAGAGGGTATGAAGCAAATACTGCACATCAGGGGAGGTTTAGGTTGGATATGAGGAAAAATTTATTCACCAAAAGGGTTGTCAAGCATTGGAACAGGCTGTCCAGGGAGGTGGTAGAGCCCCCATCCCTGAAGGGATTTAGAAGACCTGTAGATGTGGTGCTCAGGGACATGGTTTAGTGGTGGACTTGGCAGTGTTGGGTTTATGGTTGGACTCCACGATCTTAAAGCTCTTTTCCAACCTAAATGATTCTATGATTCTATCTCCAGTGGATGGTGGCAACAGTCCCTGGGCTCCTCCACCACCTCCCACACAGAGAGGGCTGCAGGGCATTGCCCCTGAACATGGACCTACATCCCCCTTCCCAGAGCAAACCCTTCCCTCTCATGTGAGTGAAATAAATGTAAGACAGGCAGCTGCACTCGTCAGTGGGAAGAGCAACATGCCCACACTCACCACAGGCACGTGTCGACTCTCACGGCCACAGTCCTGAAAGAGATTGAAGGAACAACAATTATTTCCACTTTCATGCCTGTGGTGTAACCCATTTGCTACTAATCTGCAAACCACTACGGGAGAGCATGAGCTAGAGCAGAAAAATTTGTGGCTAAGACAAATTAGGTCATCCTTTCTATCCAGAGTTTCTTGCATTAATGACAACAACGCCATCCTTGGAATTTCGAGTAGCGCTTGGGTTGGTTGAGCTGGATCCAGGTTGGTTCATACAACTGTGAGGCTGTAGGTTTACACGTAGGAGGACAACGTCTCCAACAGTGTCTCAAACAACAACCCCCTTTCCCAGGTTTAAATAGTAGCTGGTATCTTCTTTGAACAGGAAGGTTTGAAATGTTGACTCTCCTATCAACAAGGAACAACACTAAGAGGCAACTTCACTGAGCAGCAATGTTAAGAGCCACAAGCTGCTCTTTTGTGCTCTCCTCCAGACACTGAACCTGCCACACAGCTCACAAATCCCCTTATAATTTACTGTCTTTTTACAGAAACTAGAAAAAATAGTAAAAGGAGAGGGACAGCAAATTTACCTCCACCTCCTTCATGGTCTGGATGCGAACCCCACAGCACCTCCCTCTCTCCATCAGCTCCTTCTCAAACGGGTCCATCAGGATGATGGAGCTCAGACCTGGTGTTTCTTTCCTCTCCACGTGGTCGAGGAGTATTTTGGCTTTTTCAGGTTTGTCACAAATGACTGTGGAAATGTCAGCTGGAAGAAAAACAGCCAAACGAGTTGTTTCCAGTGAATCTTTGTTAATGCAGGACCAGCTATTGGCTCCTAGCTGACACTGCATCAGTGCTGAGATTCACTTCAGGCCAACATCAGAAACCCTAGAAGATAACACACATTTCTCTTGGAAAATTACTGCAATTTTAGCTAACCTCAAGCAATATCTGACATCTACAATTATTCTGGGGTTCAGTTCAAAATACTAAAATTGCTCAGCGTGTGGGCTAAAAAAAATCTAGGAGGCAAAATACGAAGCAGAACATATGAAGAGCGGGTGGCCATGGAGTAATTCCTACTGTCAGAGTAGCCCCATCCATGGCTGTGCGCAACTGGGCACGTGGGAAATGCAGCAGAAGCAGCCCTGACCCAGCACGAGGTCCCCAGAAACCTCTCTACGTGACTTCAAGACACTCAATGAATAAAATCACCCATCTTTTGGAAAGCAGAAGAAAATGAACCATTCTGAGCAACAAAACTGGTTTCTGAGAAGATTACATCAATTTTGGTTTTACCTGTGTTGACGATGTAACGAATGGCTCCAGGACCTAAGGTATCATAGAGGGGAACCACCACCATGGAGTAGGTGTAGCAAGCCAGCTCAGAAATGATCCACTGCAGGAGGACATCAAAGCGTGAAGGTGAGAAGTGGGCCATGGAAGCAGAGTTAACACATTTGAGAACAAGCTTCAAGTATAAAGCAAGCTCACAAGTCAGGAACGTTGTTAATACAACATCAAGTTGAACTTCAAATCTCACCTCTGGACGGTTTTGAGCAAAAACCCCAATGAATTGCTCTGTGGATGGTTTGCAGCCCTGCTGAAGAAGCCCTGAACCCAGAGCTTCTGCTCTTTCAGCCACCTGTCATTTGGAGAGGAAAAAAAAATAATCATAAAAAAGAAGAATATAAGTAATAACAAACCAAGCAAGACTTAACTTCCACAGGGAGGCTCTCAAATGATCCTATTTGGTATCTAAAAGCCCAATTTTCATAGAATCATTTGGTTGGAAAAGACCTTTGAGATCATCGAGTCCAACCGTACCTGTCCACTGCTAAACCAGATCTCTGAGCACCTCATCTGCCCGTCTGTTAAATCCCTCCAGGGATGGGGACTCCACCACTGCCCTGGGCAACCCCTTCCAATGCCTCAGAACCCTTGCAGCAAAGAAATTCTTCCTCACATCCCATCTCAACTGCCCTGGGCACAACTGGAGCCCATTTCCTCTTGTCCTGTCCCTTGGTCCTTGGTTGAACAGACCCACCCCCACCTCTCTGCACCCTCCTTGCAGGGAGTTGTAGACAGTGAGAAGTTCTCCCCTCAGCCTCCTTTTCTCCAGGTTAACATTTGTTGTGTTATCACAAGCCATTAGTCATTGACTAGGAGTTGACCTTTGGCTGGCAATGGCCCACAGCTTGTCAGTGCCACTGTCATTGAGCTGGTCCCCAAAGGTCAACACACCTCTATAACACCAGGACATGCCCAGCTGGGGGAACGGAGACCCCTCGCACGGCACATCAGCAATCCCGGTCTAGCACACGCGTGTTACTGAGGGGCACCTTAACACCCCTTCTTCTGGTGGACAGGGCAAGAGCTCTGGGGGAGAGGACTCTGTGAGGGGGTCATTTCCAGCTCACCTCCTTGTAGGACAGCCACTGGTAGGGCTGCTTGGGCTTCCTGAACCCCAGGCAGGGGCCGTTTTCTGGAAGACACAAGCAGAGATGATGGAGTTATGGGGACAGTGCCAGGAGTGAACATCCTGCCCAGACTGTCTTTGGTTCTACACAATCTGGGCTTCTGCACTTTTTTGTCCTCCCATACTCTTTCAGCCTCCCTCTCTCCTTCAGCAATCGTATCTCCTTCAGCTTCCCACTCTCTTTTTGCTTCTACACTCTTTGTACCTCCTGCATCCTTGGGACCTCCTACACTTTTTCAGCCTCTCCACTATTTGTGCCTCCCCCATTCTTTCAGCTTCTCGTTCTCCTGACTTTTACAATTTTGTGGCTTCCCACATTTTGGTGGCTTCCCACGCTCCTTTGGCTTTTGAGTCCAAATGGCCATCTACACCATTTGGGTCTCCCACACTTTTATGGGCTCCCAAACTTTCAGCCTCTACACTCTCCAAAGCTTCTCTAAGCCTTTGAGCCTCCTACACTGTTTGGACCTCTACATCATCTGGTCCTCCACCTTTACTCCCAGGTCTCCTCATCACCATGCTCTCACCAGAGATGCCGAATCCCCTCCTGAAGACCTCATACATGGTCCTGGCGTCATCGTAGTAGTGCGTCAGCAGCTGCGGGCTGTCTCCGATCACCGACCGGCGTGCCCCGGACAGGCCCTGTGTGACATGACATGACATGACATGATGTGACACAACTGTCAGCACCACCCGATGGGTGGGAGGTGGGGACATCTTGAAACAGGAAGCATCACACTCCCCAGATGTCACAGAGGGGCTTCTGCAGCCACCGCTGTGTTCCTGCCCCAGCACCCAAAGGGATGGGAGAGGTGGGATGTCCACCTCAGTGCCCAGTAATATCAAGAACCACCTGCCCAGAGAGCAGCACTTACAATCATAGGAGGGTTTGGGTTGGGAGGGTCCTTTCAAGGCCATCTAGTTCAACCCCCCTGCAGTGACAGGGACATCTTTAACCAGACCAGGTTGCTCAGAGCCCCGTCCAACCTGACCTTGAATGTTTCCAGGGATGGGGCTTCTACCACCTCTCTGGGCAACCTGGGCCAGGGTTTCACCACCCTCAGTGTAAAAAATTTCTTCCTTATATCCAGTCTAAATCTCCCTCTTTTAGTTCAAAACCATCACCCTGTGTCCCATCACCACAGGCTGTCCCCATCTTTCTTCTAGACCCCTTCAAGTACTGAAGGGTTGCAATATGGCCTTCTCTTCTCCAGCTGAACAACCCCAGCTCTCTCAGCCTCTCCTCACAGCAGAGGTGACCCAGCTCATTGCCACAGGAGATGGTTGATGTTTCCCAAGGAGACCTGAGGAGGAATTACAAATCTGCAAGTACCAGCGTGGGGATGTCCTGTGGGGAGCAACTGCTCTGGGCTCCACAGGTCCCAAAGGAGCATCATCATGGGCACCTTCTCCAGGACATCCAGAGCATCGTGAAAGACAGTCAAGCAGAAGCCAAACTCCAGACCCCAGTGCAGGATTTTCAGCAGGGATGTTTTAGGAGTGGGCATGGGGAGGCAACAGGGTGAGCGTGACCAAACTGGGACTGCCCTGTGGGCCAGAAGAAAGTCTCACTAAAGCCCTAACAACAGCGGAAAACTCTCTTGGAAAGAATAAATCCCTCCCACCCTTTGAAAAAGCTGTTGGAATTAAAGACAATAACGTTTCAGAGAGGATCTCACAAAAGGATTTCAAAGTTCTCATCTCACTTTCAGATATTAATTCAAGTGGAAGCAATTTTCAGGAAGATTTCTGCTCTTTAAACCCGAGCAGCTTCATTAAATTTTAAAATTTTTTGCAAATATGAATATTAATAATTTTTCAACCTCTGAGCATGGATCTGGGTCTACTTTTTCTTACTATTAGGAAGTTTGCAGCAGCAAACTCAGTAATGGGCACACACCAGAAGCTCCAGTGGATTTGATCTTAGCAGCTGGTGCCTTTCAGTGGTATCTCCTGTGCAATGGCAGCAACTCTGATTTTTGGTTGTGGATGGTTCAGCAAAGCCAAGACCAAAATATTGATGGAGAAGAAATTAATGAGCTGTATTCTTGTTTTCCAGTTCACCAAAAAAATAGGAATGAAGGAGTGAAGTGACCCCTGGCATGGCGCATTACACGGCTGATTCCAGGATGAGGTTGGGGACCTCTCAAAACAAACAAAAGCACCTTCTGGCATCATCCCTTGGAAAATGTCATTTCTAGGAGTGTAAACCTCAGGTGAAGCCAAACCTCTCCATCTGGCTGTGTCCTTGGCCTCACCTCGACTTCCTCCGATTGCATCCGTAGGTCACATGGTGGCTTCACAGCCTTGGGCCGGCTGGGGGACCAGCAAGCGACGCCGGGGGGGGAGGGCAAGCGACGACGGCGGCGAAGGCACCGATGCCCACCAGCGCCGTGGCCGGCAGGTTGCGGAAGAATTGGCTGAGGTCATCGAATTCAGGGAGCCTCAAGCTCCGCAGGATTTCCTGAGCCTGCATCTTCTCCACCAGCGAAACGGCAAATTCTGCAAGAGCCAGAAGGATGCGGTCAGGTCACGTCGTGGGATGGGGATATGGGTAGTGTGGGTCTCTCTGTGAGGTTGGGGAAGGGGAGAACATGCTTTGACTCATCAGCCGTTGCAAACACGCTGCTCTGCTGACCCATGGGGCTGCCTACCAACAGCAACCTTAGCTGGAGAAGAACAGCATAGAATCATTGAATGGTTTGGGTTGGAAGGGACCTTCAAGCTCATCCAGTTCCAACCCCCCTGCCAGCAGCAGGGACACCTTCCACTAGACCAGGTTGCTCAAAGCCTCATCCAACCTGGCCTTCAACACTTCCAGGGAGGAGCAGCCACAGCTTCTCTGCCCAACCTGGGCCCAGCATCTATGGAAAACGTAGGAGAAAGGAGGGAACCTGGGCAAGCGAGGGCGAGCAGGTGCAGACAGCTCACTACAAACATATGTTAGAGAACACAGCTGCAGTTATCTCTAGCAGACAGAAGTTGTGACAAGCTGTGGGACAAGCTATGACTGTACCCTCTGGGTTGCCAGGAGCTTGCTCTGCCTTCCCCAAGCAGGACGGGGGCTGCATGGTGGCTGCAGCCCATGGTGGGGACAGGCAGGACAGTGCCAGCTCCAGCCACAAGCCTTCAGCAGGCGGCACAGTCCCAGCCCCAGCCACAAGCCTTCAGCTCACGTGAAGTGGGGTAAAACACTGCGCAGACACGGTCTGAACCAGCACTTTCTTGCCTTTCTGCTCAATGTTGAGTTCCTTCTGATTTCCATCAGGGTGAGCGATAGGTGATTCGAGCCAAGGAAACTTTCATTTCATGGCTGAAATGTTTCCTGGAATAAACAACAAGCGGCTGCAGCGTGGGGATAAGGGAGTGCCGGGGTATCGGGTGGAGAACTCACCACCACGGGGTCCCCACCCTGCAGCCCCACCAATGTGGAGCCTCTGGGTGCCCCACGGGGGTGATGGGTGACTCCAAGGTGGGAGAAGAGACAGGGCAATACCCAACAGGCATTACTGTGGGGAGTTTTTTTGGAGAAGGGCTGGAGACTCAGCTCTTGGCAGGACACCAGCTGGGGATCCCCTGGCCCCTGTGCTGCTCCCAGGGGGTTAAAAACAAAGACAAAATCTTTTCTCCTTGACAACGTCCTCAGACACATGGACTGAATGTTGGGATTGTCCTGTGCAGGGACAGGAGATGGGGTCCATGATCCTGGTGGGTCCCTTCCAGCTCACAACATTCCCTGAGTCTATAAATAGGGCTGTGCGTGGAGGAGACAGGCGAGAGGACAAGTTTTCTGACACAGGATGGTGACCCTCTGCCATCCCCAGCTCAGTCCCTCGGTACCTGCCACCATCCCCTTGCTGAGAGCACAGGGACCACGGCTCCCGCTTGTGCTGGAATCATGGAGTGAGATCTTCTGGCTGGGGAAGCAGAGGACATGCAGCCCAGCAGGCATCTGTCCAAGCTTTCCTTTTCTCTCTTATAGACACAGAAACAGGCACCAGAGAGAGGAGCCGGGAACCCGGCTGACTGCTCCTGGGGTGCGAGGTGAGGCTGTCCTCAGGAGACTTGTGTTTGGTTCTTGAGAACACAAGAAGCATTTTAAATAACTCATATTTACAGTAACAGCCCAGTATCAGTTCCCTGCCAGGGAGTCTCCAGTAACGGCCAAGCCTGTAAGGGACAAGCCAAGCAGATGCTGCAGAGGAGGAGATCCAAACAGTTCAGGTTTCCTGTTAAGCCTCACAGCTCTATTTAGGACTTTACCAGCAGCTGAGATCTTAAAGCAAAAGTGTTTCTGCCTCAGGAGCCCGGGCAGCCCCTTTCCTCTGCCCTCTGGCCTCCCTCCAGCTCAGGATGGCTGAGGCTGGAAAAGCCCTTTAAGCTCATCGAGTCCCATCATGAACCCAACACTGACCAGTCCCCTATGACTAACCCATGTCCCTCAGCACTGTGTCTACACGACTCTTCAATCCCTCCAGGGATGGGGACTCCACCACTGCCCTGGGCAACCCCTTCCAATGCCTCAGAACCCTTTCAGCAAAGAAATTCTTCCTCACATCCCATCTCAACTGCCCTGGCCACAACTGGAGCCCATTTCCTCTTGTCCTGTCCCTCGGTCCTTGGTTGAACAGACCCACCCCCACACTCTCCTCTCTCTGAGGAGAGTGTTGATTCCTCTCCTCTGTATTTCTCCCTGTCCAACTAGGAAAAGCAGTTTCATAGAATCAGAGATGGTTGGGGTTGGAAGGGACCTTAAAGCTCATCCAGTCCCAACCCCCCTGCCAGCAGCAGGGACACCTTCCACTAGACCAGGTTGCTCAAAGCCTCATCCAACCTGGCCTTCAACACTTCCAGGGAGGAGCAGCCACAGCTTCTCTGCCCAACCTGGGACACTGTCTCACCACCCTCACACCAAAGAATTTCTTCCTCACATCTCATCTCCATCTCCCCTCTGCCACTTTCAAGCCATCACCCCTTGTTCTGTCACTCCCTGCCCTTGGCCAAAGTCCCTCCCCAGCCTTCCTGGAGCCCCTTCAGGTACTGGGAGGCCACTAGAAGATCTCCCCGGAGCCTTCTCTTCTCCAGGCTGAACAGCCTCAGTTTGCCAAACACACTTTTCCTTGCAGACTCCAACAAGTGAGAGAGCTCAGTGAAGGAACTATTCATTTCCTGATGAATCAGCTATTTGTGCCAAAGCATTTCAGCAAGTCCCACTTAAAACCAGTCCCGCTGAAGGCAGCCACCCAATTTGCCACCGTTACTGGTCCCACTGAAATCCTGAGAATGACTCCCTAGACATCAGGTTTTTGGTTGGGACAGAGAAAGGTTATTTTTTTAGTAGCTACAATAACACTGAGATCCTGTTCTCAGAGTGACCTTACCCAGCCAAGGGAAGTTCTCAGCACTTTTGAATCCTCTTATCCAACCCCAGACCTGTAACATCAGCCACCGACCCCCATTTCTGCTCTACAGAGCTCACCCAGCTCATCTCAACTGTTAATCAACAGTTCATCTTGATTTTTACATCCCAAAGTGATTTGTGATGAGCTCATACTTGATCTGCTCATACTTGATCTGCTCAGAGCAGCAAACCTGCCTTGGGAAGGTGGCCAGGAGAGTGGCCCAGGGGCGTTTGGGAGGAGCACACAGTCCAGAGAGTGGAGGAACACCCCAGACACCCCCTAACCCAGGGGAGGCTGTGGAAACAGGGCTCAGGGCTGCCCAGGTCACAGGCTGCTCAGCTGAGCTGAGCTGAGTGGGTGGTCACCATGTGGTCACATGCTCTGTGGATATATTTTTCATGTGATCAGGAAAATAAAGAATCATAAGAAAAAAGAAAAATAATAATAATAATAAAAAATAAACCCACTAGAAATCAAACCAATAAAAAGGATAAAAATGATAAATATTCTATAAAATAAGAATTTAAAATAATAACAATGAAAAAATAAAAATGAAATAATAAAAATCATAACAATAAAAATAATAAAATAAAAAATCATGACAACAAAAATAATGTTTTAAATGGCCTGGGTTTCCCATCAGCAAGGCAGCGTCACACCCTGGAGCACACCCTGAGCAGCCACAAACGCCACGATTGTGCCATTGGGTTTTGATCTTTTCCTGCTGGAAGCGATTCTGTAACTCCAGCCTGGTCAATAGAGTTTTATTGCCATAAACCAGTGTGGGAACAGCCTCAGCCTACTGGTGTGTGCATAATGCAATTAAAATCGTACCCGTCCTGTGCAGCCGAGCAGTCACACCCTGCCCACCATCACATCAGTGGCTGGACACCCGCTTGGGAAGGAGAACTCCTTTGGAGAGGCTTTTATCCTCCTGCCCACACGCCTTCACAGCGGGGCAGGGAAGAGGCGGGTGATTCATTTTATGGTGGAAACTGGGCAAAATGTTTAACTGCCATCCCTATGTTCAAACACCAAAAAAAGGCGATTTCCATTTGATTTGATAACACTAAACCGAAAATCAAATCAGCAGCTTTTCAGTATGGCTGAGGGAATTAAACACTTCCAGTGGGAACTGCAGCCAGTGGAGATGGGATGGGTCAGAGCCTGCAGACCCACAGCTTCTCCCCGTGATGAGAAGAACACCCCTGTTCTGGTGTCACTAGGGTGAAGTTAATTTTCTCCTTAGTAGCTGGAATAGC